CAGGGAGGGCCACCTTTTTTTTTTTTTAAAGATTTATGTATGCATATAAGAACTGGGGCACAGGCCAAAGGTGGGGGGGAGAGAGGATTCCCCAGAAAGAGTGGGGAGCAGAACAGGCAGACTGACTGAAATACACTGCTGAAGGGAGCTGCAGGGAGACAGGAGGGGTCTGCTGTGCCTTGTGGGTCGCTCCCTGGCAGGGGAGGAACTCGTGTTGCAGCGGCTGAGGCCAGCTTCAAAGAGCTGCACTTTAACCCTGTGCCACCAGGGAGGGCATTAACGATTATTTATGGAAGACCTAGGATGTACATGAGCTGGGCTGGGCTGGGCTGGCGAAAGGCGTGAAGGTTGGACTTCTGGGGTGTGGAGGCCTCCAGGAGGACAGCAGTCAACTTCTGGAGAGCCCCACAGCCCCACTGTTGTGATGGCAACACCATCAACCTGGCCGTCAGGAAGTGGGGGTGCACCTCTGATCCCCTTCTCTATCACCATGCTCTCATTTTAAGCTTAAGTGGATAATGAAACAGCAGGTATTTAAAGAGACAAAGTACTAAAAAGTAACAAGTATTCATAAGTTATCTGACATATACTATTTTTCTGACCATCTAATTTCAAATAGTTGGTTACATGTTAGTAAATATTTCTCTCTGATAGACCGGCAGACAACAGTGTTCTTCCCAACTGGACCCTGCTGTTTTTCCAGATAAAATGGATGTGGGAGAAGCCTTCACCATTAACGTGTGGCCAGTCAGGCTAGGCCAGTCCATCCCAGCACAGGACAAGTCTATGTCTGTCTGCCTATGGACAGAAATACTCATTAACATATCGCCAGCTACTTGAAATGAGATAGAAAAATAGTGTAGATGTCAAGTTATGAAGACTTGTTGTATTTCAGTATTTTGTCTCTTTAAATATCTGCTGTTTCATTATACTCGCAAGCTTGAGATGGTCTCAGCTCTCCCTTGTGGTCCCCTACCAGCTTCTGCCAGACAACCTCATTTATTCCTACACTCAACCGGGAGGCTCCTTTCCTACTTCTTTCTCTCACGTCTGTTCTCTAGAACCCCATGACCCACTCACCCTAATGCTGATTTTGAAAAAACAAGCAAACAAAAAGCCACTCGCAGTCTGTTTTTGACCTACATAACATATTATGAAGCGATCACATAGAGATTTGCTAGTGGAAGAAAATACGTTTTTCTCCACTCTCCAATCTTTCTATCCATCTCTCTCTCTTTTTTCCTTTTTAAGCTCAACTATTTATTATTATTATTATTATTTTAAAGATTTATTTATTGATGCATACAAGAACTGGGGTATGGGCCAGAGGTGCAAGGGGTGAGAGAATTCACCAGAGACGAGTGGGGAGCAGAGTAGGTGGATCCACTGAAATCCACCGCTGAGGGGAGTCGCGGGGAGACAGGAGAGGTGTACACTCAGGAAACGCAGCACTGATTCTCCCAAGAACAGCAGCACGCAGAAGGCTGCCCTGTGCTAGGATCTGATTCCGCCTGTTCAGAGCTCCCAGGTTAAGACTGGACACAGCGATCATACAAAATTACTAGTTTCACAGGAAAACACTCTTGTCTATGTTTTTTTTTTTTTTTAAAGATTTATTGATTTGTGCATACAGAACTGGGGTACAGGCCAGAGGCTCAGGGGCGGCGAGAGGCTTCACCAGAGACAGAGTGGGGAACAGAACAGGCAGATCAACAAAGTACACTGCTGAGGGGAGCAGCGGGCGGGTCAGGAGAGGTCTGCCGCGCCATGTGGTCTCCTGCGGGGCAGGCGGGAATCGAACTCATGCGGAAGTGGCTTCAGATTCTCAGTGCTGTGCTTTAACCCGCTGCACCACCAGGGAGGGCCTATGTTTTAAACAAACTGTGCAAAACACCAAAACCCTGATGGGATGGACGAGAACGCACTGGCCAACACGCTCCTCCTTCTGGAACATGGGAGAAAGGCAGGCACCTTACACTGGCCTCCATCTACAGGCAGGTGGAGAAGAACAGGTGTTAGAAGGGCATATTTGCAGCCTTGGGGCCTTCTTGGCTACTCCAAGCTGGCTGGAGCACACCTGTGGTGCAAAGACCCATCCATGCTCCTTGGCAGCCTGGGCCGTGGGAACCGTGGAGGTCGAGAGAGTGAGGCAGGCGAGACGGGCAGTGATGGGCCAGCTCTTCCTTTTCCCTGCCACATCGCAGGTAATCTTTGTCTCGTGTAAGAAGAGGACATTTACAGCCTTCAGCGTGGCACGATCACGAGAGCATTCGGGATCTTCAGGCTCCATTTTTGCCAGCGTCGTCCTTTCTAGGGGACGCCCTTGTAAGCCCGAACGTGGTACTGCACACGCGAGTGCTGTCGGCTCATTCAGCATCTGTTCAGTAGGTCCCTGAGCGGAGTTCCAAAGAAACGGTAGGATTTTATCACTCTGCCTGTTGTATTTTAGGTCAGTGACACACAGAAGGTCACCCCCTGTAGCACAAGCTCTTGGGCGCTTCTGTGTGATGGTCCTGCTCCCTCACATAAGTCCTGGCAGCTGCAGGAGGGGAGAGCTGGCCTCAGGGGCCGTATCACCCTGGCCCCTGGTGGGGGGCAGGGTGCTGGTGGATTGCTGAGTCCCACTGGGGTGTGTTTGCCAGGCCAAGGATAGAAGAAGGGGCCCCGAGTCCTTCCCATGCGTGTTCCTAGTGCCACGCAGAGGGCGCTCATGCTCGTTACCGTTTCTGCCTCTGCACTGCCCTGGACCCTCCTGGTAGCCCATGTACTGCCAAGGAAAACTACCCGGCTCCCGGGTGTCCATTGTGCGTCCACATCCGGTGCTGAAAAGCCTGGCTCGCGTTCTACACAGAAGGAGCCCTGGGAAGCAAAATTTGCTTCCTCCAGTGTCCAAGGCGTCACAGCCAACGTCCCAGCCCAGACAGAGACCAACCTGGGCCACCCTTCCTCTCCATCCCTCAGTGTGGGGTGACTATTATTCCCATTTCAGTGAGAAAACATTTCCAAGACAAGACATTCCCCCACTGGGAAATATATTGGACCTTTGTCAGACTTTCATTAGCTATGTCCTGGGGACCTCCTGTAAATAACTGTGGCGGGGCGGACCGTTGTGTGCTTCAATTATTTTGTGTCTTTGCCTTGCTTATTCTTTGCTTTGACTGTTCTGTGGCTCTCAGTGTGCAGAAACAGGTAGAGTAATAAGGAACTTCTCAGGGCAAAAGTCCTAGTGTGAGGATCTCCACATGCTGAAGACAGCAAATGCAGAAACAGCAACAGGTACCATGGCTGAGTAGCATGAACACTGAGACTTGCCTTGGCCTTCTCTCAGCTCCCCAACCTGGGCTGGGGCCAGCTGGGTACGCATTCCCCACACACTTGTACACTCCCCGTTTGCCTGCTAGCTTCTTTGATCTTATTTTCTGTCTGATTCTAAGTAGAAACGAGACTGTGCTTGGAGCTGGACTGCACGTTCTTGTCCCTCTAGACTTCTCACCGCTGTGCTCATGGACTCTGAGTTGGCCTTTTCTATCCCACCGCCACATGTCATAACAAGACAAATAAAGGTGGCTTCCTGTAAATAAGAAAGTGATCAGGGCTCCAGAATTCAAGTGAACACAGCAATAGACACGTAGTCTTTACAGAGAAGCTGGACGGAAATAGTGACAGCCTCAGGTGAGCAACACTGCACAAGCACACACACTGTCATCCTGTGACATTATCACAGGTTCAGGTAAGTGACCGAGTTCTGCTAAGAATGAACCCCTTTTATGGGGCCAAGGCTTTAGGGCGAGCGAGGGGTGGGGAAATGGCTCACAGAATTTCTTTCTCCTCAGACGTTTCCATGGTAGCGAAGCTTAGCAAGTGCATGTTGACCAAAGGAGGGGTGGGTAGCGGTGCTATGGGATAGCGGGGTCTCATCGGGAGAGGACTGGTCAGCAGCCCTGGCCAGCAATCTGGACAGTGCAGGCGCTGGCTGTCTGCACCCTCTGGTTGTATATTGTTGAGACCTGTGAGTGGCAGCAGTAGGTAACCGGATAAATTATAGGTCCTGGAAAAGTGAGGGTCCCTTATGTCACTCTGAAAAACTGACACTCGGGCCCTCCCTGGTGGCGCAGCGAGTTAAAGCACAGCACTGAGAAACTAAAGCCACTTCCGCATGAGTTTGATCCCCGCCTGCCCCGGAGGTGACCACATGGCGTGGCAGACCTCTCCTGACCCGCCCGCTGCTCCCCTCAGCAGTGTACTTCGTCGATTTGCCTGTTCTGCTTCCCACTTTGTCTCTGGTGAATGCTCTCACCCTCCGCATCTCTGGCCTGTACCCCAGTTCTGCACAAATAAATAAATAAATCTTTAAAAAAAAAAAAACTGACACTCAACCTTCAGTTCAGGTCCAGTAGAGTAGCCACAAGTCACTGCTCTGTAGATTTACATGAAGTAAAATTGAAAATGTAGACTTTGGAGCCTCTGTCCACCTGTCATGGCCAACAGTCATATGCAGTGAGTGGCACGAAGGGTGTCTCCATGACCGCGGCAAGTCTTAGCGCGTGCTGGCTGCAGACACACGAGAAGTGGACACTCAACTCTCAAGGCTTGATCATGCCGGAGAGGGAGGAGCTGCAAGGGGGTTACGAGCAGACTCCACACCGCGCTTTCTAGGCTCAAACTCTGGGTACCAGGGCCTTGAACAAGTTGCCAGGCACGCTGTATCTCACATCCGTAAATGAAGATGATCACAGCAAACATTTTATAAGGGCCTGAGCGTTACAAGGCTCATGCAGGTAAAGCACTCACTGGTTCCAACACAGTCCACACTGCTCAAGTTGTTACCGCTTAGGATTTTCGTTGTACATGGAAATACATTAGCACCTGGGAGCATGGGCCTTTGACTCACGTGTCTGATCCTTTCTGATCCCTTGCCCATGAGCCAAATCTTAGTGGGCTCGGTTCAAGCCTCTTGTGAGCACCCAAACGTGAGAGACCGGGGCGGGTGTGCGGCTTACTTGTACAATAGAACGTCAGCAGCCTGGAGAACGGGGTACATGAGCAGGCCCATGGTGCCATCCTGCTTCTGCTTGGCAGTCTTCGCCTGGGGGGTGCAAGCGAGAGGGGAGAGAAATCCAACATGAAGCCTGTTATATTGTGTCTTCCCGCTCCAGTCTTAGGCAAGCATAGGGTGAATCCACCTCACCACTGCCCTTTCAAAACCCTGCGCTACTACTCGTTCTTACTCATTCTGTTCAAGTAAATGCATAAATGATTTTAGGTTTCACATCAGAGAAATTTCTAGATTTTTGAGGATATCCCTGGTGACCCATGTATTATCACAATGGTCAATCATGGTGGCCCGAGTTCAATCCCCAGCCAGGGGGTGACCCACAGGGTCACTGTCTCCCCACTGCTGCCCTCAGCAGTGTGTCTCAGTGGATCTACCTGTTCTGCTCCGCACTGTCTCTGGGGGACCCTCTCAGCCCTGTACCTCTGGCCTGTACCCCAGTTCTACATTAAATAAATAAATAAAATCATTACAAATAAAAAAGAAGAAGAAAGACAATGTCTAGATATCCAGGGTAGGTCAGCAAATCTAAATGTCTATAACATTACTATTTTCGACATCAAAGTTACAGATTAAAAAGTCCTCCTAGTGGGGAGCCGGTGGAAGCACCAGAGGCCCAAGCAGACGTACTGAACAACGGGCTACACACTCCGGGGTCACCCCCCAAATACAAGCCCATGTGGCTCCAGAACTCTGGCTGGTGATGTGCCCTCCGCAGGAGCCACTAATTGGCAGTACGTGTGTGTCGTTCACAGGTAACTGCCTCCAAGCTCTAGTGTCTCATTCTTGTGAGATGACAAACTGTTAACTGGTGTGTTGTCTCTGAATGAACTCAACAGCTGAACTTATAAATTGCCTGCTTCCAGGAGGAAGCACCTGAGCTCACACCTGACCCCCCCAACATGCAGACATATCTCTGGAAGCTGTGCCTGAAAAGCAGGGCTGCTCTCCAACCCACTAATGCCAAAGTTTCAGAATTTAGATGCAAACCTAACTTTCTGTACTTCCTGTAGTTACCTTCAGTAGTTTCTGGCTGACAGTGGCCAAGAAATGCTATAAATGATATTAAATGATTGCACATATGATGCCCTCAGGACATTTTCTCACTCCATGTCCATGGATAAAGGTCAGTTACGTAATGATCACTGGGCAGAGATAATGAGGGTTTAATCTGGAAATGAGCAAATGGGGAAAGAACGCAATGTTTAGAAACGCCTATGACATTAGCGACTACGTATAGTCTTTTTACGTAAGAAGACTGGATCTTGCTATGACAGAACTATCCAGGGGACAGCAGGGATAGTTCTTGACTGTCTCCACGTCATCTGGGTCATCTCCCCAACAACCCGAACGAGCCCCACCCCCAGCTGTCCCTCCCACTGCCCCAGTCAGAGCCAAGCTGGGCGCTCCGAGACCCTCCCTCAGCACGGGACCCTCCTGCCAAGGGCTGTTCACACTTGCTGATTGCTTTCTTGGCCTCTTCCTCAATAAACTACAGGCTTCAAGCAGGGGCTCCCGCTGCAACCCCAGCCATGACGTCACGTGAGGCTTGCACAATCGCGTCGCAGGCGTTTGTGACTCCTCAAGGGAAGCGGTTGGCGGCAGAAGGCAGGAAGCCCTAGCCCAGGCGCTGCCTGAAACCCATGTTTTTCCCACAAATAAGATATCAGGCACCAGATTATCGGTGCACTCACTGGTCGTGTGTGTACTTCGGGTCCTTGGTCACCACTGCAAAGTGGGCTTGTTTCCCATGAAGTTAGGGTCCTCTGCTTAGAAAAAGGCCTACAGCAGTCAACGCAGAGTATTACCATAGCCAGGGGAAATCTTGTCTACATCCGAGGTACGTAGAAAACATGATAAAATTCGGTTTCCTGTTCTGGTGGGTGATGGGTCTGCACCCCCTTAGAAACTGCACTTTAAAGAATCTGTCTGTTGGCCTCCCTGGTGGCGCAGCGGGTTAAAGCACAGCGCTAAGAAGCTAAAGCCACTTCTGCATGACTTCAATCTCTGACCCCGGAGGAGATCCACATAGCGCAGCAGGCCTCTTCTGACCCGCCCGCTGCTCCCCTCAGCAGTGTACTTCATCGATCTGTCTGTTCTGCTCCCCACTTTGTCTCTGGTATCCTCTCACCACCCCTGCACCTCTGGCCTGTACCCCAGTTCTTTACAAGAAAAAAGAATCTGTTCCCCCCCACGCCCCTACGAGTGTGAAGGCTTCTGTAAACTGGCTTTTGAGGAAGCCAGGAGTCCGGAAAATATGCTGGAAAAAAGCTAGAAACTGGAATTAGTGATGAGGTGGTCAGGGGCTACCTGCCCTCAGGTTATCCAGTTGCAAAACTAAATGGAAGTAAAGTATTCGCAATTATCCAATTTCTCTTGCTTAGTTGAACATCTCGGGAGAAGTATAGCCTTCATTTTCCTGTGGGTTTGAACTGCTGCCTGAACTCAAATTGTTTAAATGTTAAATAAAGTACACTGTCTCTTTTCTCCACCACGAAAACATTCTTGCCTTACTGTCAGCTGATTCCAGTGGAGACGGGAGGCAGCTTGAGCCCAGGAATCCGGAGTTGCGATTGTTAATGATAATGTAGTGGCTGCGAAGTCATCACCGAGTACATCCAGAAGTCACTCTGGTTCACCCACATGCAGAGAAGACCAAATAGTCCAACACTGGCCGTTTTAAATCCCGTTTTTCTGTTACAACAGTCTTGGGAACCCTTCCTTTGGTCTAATACCCCAAGGCAGAAGGAGGTCCTTGAGCCACTCACTCGGGAGGCCCCGACCTCAGGAGGTACCGAGCCCGGCACACCCAGGGGCAGCGGCTGTTCTGGGGGCCTTGAACTCCTTTCTGAAGAGTAACGCGGTCGGTCCCTGGCATTTACCTTCCACTGGTGTAAATGTTGTAATCGCGGCAGTCTGACCAGGCAGGTGAGGATCCAGCTTAGCTGGGTGTGTTCGGAAACCTGCAGAAGTAAAACAGCAAATTAGCAATAGGTCCGTTTTCCGTCCGGCGTGGGTCTTCCATAAAAGGCAAAGCAAAATATGGTCCTTCCTGGCGGCGCAACAGGTTAAAGCGCAGCACTGCAAGACAGCAGAAGCCGCTTCAGAGCAAGTTGGATTTCCACCCCGGAGGTGACCCACAGGACGCGGCAGACCTCTCCTGACCCGCCCGCTGCTCCCTCAGCAGTGTACTTCGTCCATCTGACTGTTCTGCTCCCTGCTCTGTCTCTGGTGAATCCTCTCGCTGCCCCTGCACCTCTGGCCTGTACCCCAGTTCTGATTGCATAAATAAATCTTTAAAAAAAAAAGCATAATAGATAAAGGGTATTCCCTGAAAATACCCCAAATCAAGGTAGTAAAAAAGAAAAAAGAAAAAAACAAAACTATGATGAGGGCTGAGTCATAATACAGAGTTTTAATTTCATTATTTAATTTATATTTATTACTGCGGTGACACAGGTTATAACACTGCATGTGATGGGGCATTGGGTTACGTCCCCAGTGCCTGTCACCACACCCAGCACAGAGGCCCCCCGCCTGCCCCCCAGCCACGGCACCCCTCGCCTCACGGACCCTCCATCCCACAGGCAGATTTCTAGGGCTTGTTACTAGTTTGGTTTCATCCGACCCTTTGTTGTGTTTTCCTATATTTCACATAAAGTGAAACCATCTGGTGTTTGTCTTTCTCTTTCTGATTTACTTCACTCAGCCCCTGATGCAGAGAATTGTAGGTGAAGAAAAAATCCTCAAAATTATCCGATGTGATTACTTGCGTTTAAACGCTCTTTACAGTATCCCTAGGGGGAGGAATTCGTGATCTCCGGAGGCATCTGTTCCACCTTCGGAAAGCTAAGGTTATTAAGACAGACACATAGTCAGACGGACACACACAGGCTCAAATCCTCCCTAGGTAACGTCTAGATAGATGAAAGCAGAAAGGTACCGTACTTCAAGTACTGAATCTGTCAGGACCTGAAATTTAGAATCACTTTCCTCATCACAAGAGGTATTTTTATAGTTTCTATTTGCTCCTCCTCCCTCTTCCTTTTGTTTTTTAAAGAGGTTTAGTCAACAAGGCTAAATTCTGTTTTTTTGAAAATCGACTTCATCACATAGCCAAATCTAATAATAATTGGAGTGCGGGCCAGCTTCTACCTGATGACTTAGGGTTTAAGGCCAATGTCCCTCCTTTCCAGACCTCAAGGATTCCCAGTGCTTCATCCATTGTGGCTTTTCTTGGTGTCCATGTGATTTCCTTAAAAGGCAGAATCTGTTGCCAACTCTGAAAAGTGGCCCCAAATGTGTTCTTTGTGGGTTTTGCAAAATGAACATAAAGGGATACATGTTGCTGAATCAGCTTAGGCCTATTTTCTAGCAAGGAATCACCATCTGGTGCTAGACAAGGTTTGAAAGTTTCACCCTCATCTCTTAGAGCTGTTTCCTAGGGGGTGACCAGAATCACTTTTCAAGTTTTACGAGTCACTGGGCTGAGGGGCGTTTGAGTTGGGTTGAGGCCTGTGAACTGGACAGCGCTCGCCACTGCTGCTGTGGCCAGTCACCAGCCCAAACAGTAACCCCGGAAGCAAGAAGGGAATCACAGTTGCTTCCAGTCACCAAGCACAATGCATGCCCATTAGAACAAATAAAATGACACCGTTTCTGGCAAAAAGAAGTGAGTGACCATTGTTTTATTCTTTACTCAACTGGAGAAGGGGACGAACACAGAATATAACCACACACATGTGGAAAGGGACAAGATGACAGCTTTCCTTCAGCTCTGGCTTACATGTTCAGCTTCAGTGTCATGCAAAAATCCACCATGCTGTCTCTAGTGAAGTCACATGTTTTCCAGGGAGTAGTTTTTTATTTGGACATACAGAATGAGACTTAGTTAAGACTGCAGAACTCCTCCTGGTGTTTCCAAATAAGGGAGCAAAAATTAATCTAAGTTATCCTCATATAGGGGAAAAAAAGTAGCTAAAGGTTCAAACACAATTCATTTCCACCATTTACAGCTTGTTATCTAAGAAGGGTGACACAGTCAGCATTCGGTGCTCTTAATGTATCCATACCCATGAGAGTCACCTGGAAGGGTTTCTATTACGATGTGGGGAAAAGTGAAAATGGGACCTAAATATAGTACGTCTGACTTATGCTGTGAAACCACAAACAAGTGAACAGTAAGATCTGTTTCAGCCACAGAAAAGTAGGGGAATGGCCAGCGAGGTGGCCTGCTGGCCATCTACAAACAAGTCAGCAAGCACTGAGGGTCCCCCCGCCCTCACTATAGTAAGTAAAAACACGGTCTCTGCTGTCACAGCCGTTTGCATACCTGGTGTACTGCTACAGAACCGCCTGACACACAACGTGTTCCATAAACACTCGTTCAACGCGTGACCAGTACCATCGACAGCAGAAAAAATGGTAAGGGTCGGGCCCTCCCTGGTGGGGCATGATCTACTAGTTTAGCAATGAATTTGTTCATGATTCAGGCAAAAGCAGTTTCAGGGAGTGAACAGGAGGGAAGCTAATTGCAGTGGGTGGGTTAGAGGGCCAGGAGGCAGGGCATACAGACAGACAGACAAGAAGGGGAGCAGAGTGACTGAGATCTCCAGCTCCCAAGGACACTGTCTGGATCTGGAAGCTAATTCGGCCACTTCCTAGCTGGGCCACACTGTGCGAAGTACTTAAAGTCTGTGCTGTCTTCTCATTGATAAAGGAGGTTGACACTGACAATAAGCACTCAAATGGTAGCTATTATTACTATAGACACTTCTTTAAAAAAAATATTAATGCATATAAGAACTAGGGTAGAGGTCAGAGGTGAGGGCAGCGAGAGGCTTCACCAGAGACAGAGTGGGGAGCAGAACAGGCGGATCTACTGAAATACACTGCTGAGGGGGGCAGCAGGCAGCTGTGCCTGTGGGTCACTCATGCCCAGGATCGAACCCCTCCTGCAGGGGCTGCGGTGAGCCTCACAGCACTGGGCTTTAGCTCACTGCGCCATCAGGGAGAGCCCACTAAATATACTTCTTAGGAAGACTTTGTTTCCACCTTTCATTTTGAAGACTGTTAAGCTATACTGAAAGTGGCCAGGGACTCGCAAGGATTCCAGATTCTCTGCTTCCTTCCCAGAACTGGCTATTGTCTGTCTTTTTCGACTGAAGCCATCCTCCAGTGAAGTGAGGCCTCTGTGTGGTTCTGATTGTCATTCCCTAATGACCCAGGGTGTTGAGCATCTTTTCATGTGCTTATCGGCCATTTGTATATCTCCTTTGAAGAAATATCTTTTCAAGTCCTTTGTCCATTTTAATTGGCCTACTGCCCTTTTGATTGCTAAATTACAAATGTTCTTTTATATTCTGGACACTAATCCCTCTCACATACTGATTTGCCAGTGTCTTCTCCCTTTGGGGATTTCTTTCTGGACAGTGTCCTTTGAAATACAAAAGTTCTCCTTTTTATGGACTCCAGATTGTTTATTTTTTCCCTCTTTTTGTTTGTGCTTTTGGCCATACCTTGAGCAGACCGTTGTTTAACCCAAGAACAGAGACCCACTCCTATGTCATTAGCCATTCCATTCCTAGGTGTGCATCCAAGTAAGAAAACATACAGCATGCAAAAACTTTGCATAAAGGTTCAAAGCAGCATTATTCACAATGCAGTTTAAAAGTGGGAAAAAACTCCAATGCTCACAGATTGATGAATGGACAAAAGTCATACGGTGGAGTATTACTCAGCAAAATGAAAAGGAGTGCAGTGCTGATAAGCACCAAACCTTGGTCAACACTGGAAGCCCTGGAGTGTTTCCTTACTCCTCCTTTCTCTCACCTCTGTATTTAACCATCTGCAAAGCATGTTGTGCCTGCCTTCAAACTGTGCTCAGAATCTTTCTACTTTCACCACTATTGCTACCACGCTGGTCTAAGGCACCACCGACACTCACCTGGATGAAGGTGACACCATTTTTTTTTTTAAAGATTATTTATGCAGGGCCCTCCCTGGTGGCTCAGCGGGTTAAAGCCCAGCACTAAGAAGCTTAAGTCACTTCCGCATGAGTTCAATCCCTGCCTGCCCCAGAGGAGATCCACATGTGTGGCAGACCTCTCCTGACCCGCCCGCTGCTCCCCTCAGCAGTGTACTTCATCGATCTGCCTGTTCTGCTCCCCACTTTGTCTCTGGTGAAGCATCTCAGCCTCCGCATCTCTGGCCTGTACCCCAGCTCTGTATGCATAAATAAATAAGTCTTTAAAAAAAAGATTATTTATGCATACAGAACTGGGGTACAGGCCAGAGGTGCAAGGGCAGTGAGAGGATTCACCAGAGACAGAGCGGGGAGTAGGAAGGCAGATCGATGAAGTTTACTGCTGAGGGGAGCAGCGAGCAGGTCAGGAGAGGTTTGTCTCACCATGTGAATCACCTCCAGGGCGGGGATCAAACTCTCATTGAAGTGGGGGCAGCCATTGTGCCACCAGGGAGGGCTGAAGGTGACACCCGGCTTCTAACTGGCCTCCTCCAAGTCAACCTACCCCCCATTCATTCTATTCTTACGCAGTAGCCAAAACAATCCTTTTTAAACATATCACATCACTTTGCTTAAGTCTGTCCTCCCCGTGTCTTCAGAGTAAACGACTTTGAATCTTCCTTCCTAATCACGGCCTATCGGCCACGTCATTCCTGTGATTCACACTCTCTTCCTCTCCCCTTCAACTCCCCCTTCTCTAGTCCTGCTAAGATTTCTAAACATGAGAAAAATCACAAAAGCACATTGTGTGTGAAAAAAAGAAAACTGCAGAAAGGTACACCAATGTAGCACCAGTTTTATACATTTTTAAAAACCGCACAGATGCAGGTATTATGCTTCGTTTTTGGAGTAAATACATAAAAGAGGCATGGGATAAGCGACTGGATTGATACCATAGCCAAGGTTTTGCTTGCTGAGGACTAGAGGCAGGGGAGAAGG